ACTTGCAGCTGAGTGTCGCCTTTATATAGCAGTCGGCTGCTCGCAGACGAAAGCGTAGAAGCATCGAATTGTTCGCTATGGAAGGTTCTTGTTTTATCGTTTCTAGAACGTACTAGTTATCGGCTTCTCTCTTTCATCTGACATTCGCTTCGCATTTTCGCAACAATATATATATTTTTAGTACACCTACACATTTCCAATTTGTACTAAATTTTCAGTTATAAAATTACATTCTCAGTGTGAATTGGCTTATTATATATTTTGGGATGCAACCGTGTTAATGAATGCAATAGGAATCAACACGTCATAACAAATAATTGTACTAGATACTGGTCTGAAAGGTGATTTCTTTAATTGTTTAGATAAAGCAGTTGTTTTTTTAAGTAAATAAAATATATTGGAATGGAGGCACTTTATCATCAAACAAATCGCATGATTCAAGAGATTGAACAGAGCTTTCAAAAACTTTCACAATTAAATGGCCCAAACACTACAGACGTGGAAAATGAGATTCAAATGAAAATTACTGCTGTAAACTCGTAAGTTGCTTTTCCAAATCTAAGGTAGTAATAAATATATAACTTAATTTAAATACATTCAAAAAATTGTATTGTTATTTTATATAGGAATTGCGATCGTCTTGATGTACTGCTATACAAAGTGCCGGCTTCCCAACGCCCAAGTACTAAAATGCGGATAGACCAATTAAAGTATGATACTCGACACTTACTTAGTTCGCTGCAACTTTACCGAGAGAAGAAGCAGCGTCGTCTAGTAGAAATGTCTGAACGGGAACAGCTATTAAGTCATCGTTTTACTGCAAATGGTTCCGGCCCAACAGACACATGCCTGGAAATAGATTATTCACTGCAACATCATACACAACTTAATAATGCACATCAAGGCGTGGATGAAATGATTGCTTCTGGGGGAAATATACTAAGTAGCCTAATCAATCAACGTGAGACTTTGAAAGGGGCTCATCGTCGTATTCATGCAATAGGCAGTACACTCGGTTTATCCAATCACACTATGAAATTAATTGAGCGTCGTTTTGTTGAAGATAAATATGTAATGTTGGGTGGCATGTTTGTTACACTGCTAATTATTGCGTTAGTAATTTATTTCGTTGTATTTTGAGCTGCGTAATTCTCAAGTATTTATTTGACATTTAAGTTATCGAAGTAAAATCTGTAGATTATAAATTAATATATGTATGTATCTTAAACGCCTATAATTTTAAATACATTATTCATAATGTTTAAGATTGTTAGATAAAACTAATTACGGAAAAAACGCCTGTTTTCTCTTAATCATCGGTGTCTAATCTTTTTGTTAATTTGCCCACTTCTCTTGGCTGATATGCTAGAGTTATTGGAGAGTTTATTTTTTGAACTCGTGTTTCCACTCGGCGTATTTATATCTTTTATTATATCACGTTGAGACGTAGGTGTAGTCGCTCGATCTTCATATGAAAGAAATTAGAAAATATTTAATATATTTATATGACAGCTGCAAGTATTATAGAATCATACCATTTTTTTCATCCTTACCGGCGCTTTTTATAGAACCGGTGCCATCGTGCGCTGTTGTAGTATTTTGATTCATAGCAATTTGATTATCACTGGAGTCTTCATTTGTTATGGAATCTGATTCACTGGCACGCTCGGCTAACATAATAATAATTTACGGAAATATCACTAAAATGTGGACAAAATACTTACGATTACATATAGCCATTGATGTTATACTCGACTTAGAAAACAGTCTTTCAGCTTCTTTGAATTTTCGATTGCGCTTGTCTGCTTTGGAATTTGTTGCTTTATTTGAGGTGAGATACCTTTCCCAACCACGGATTATGTTGCCACAAAGTTGAGTATCTTCAAGATATGAACCTTCAAACGCATATATCTGTCTTTCTAAATTTGCCAATTGTTCCTGAAATGGTAAAGTCTTCTGTCAAGCACTTCTGAAAACAACAAATAACTAAAATTACAGATGTTTCTGCTTTTTTCTTAATAAGATCCGCCAATTCTGCGCGCGTATCCAAGCTTGTCGATTTTGTGTTGGAATTGGTTTTTGATGATTTGCGCTGCTTTGCTGCACTCACATCGTTGTTACTTTTACTTATTGGTGAACTCATTATTTATAAACTAATATCTCACTTAAATTCGTAAAATTGTTATTTTCGGATAAGAAAATATATTTCCTTTGCTTAGATAAAGCAAGTAACTTTGTGTTGTTAGAAAGAAACTTTTACAGGGGCTGCACATCACACAAAAGATTGCACAAGCCTGTACTTGCATCCGTAATTTTTTTGACAGTTAAGGTAATGTACAAATTGATGTCGTATTATCGTGAAACTAACAAAATTGTTCAAATTAATTACGCACGTAGTATGACAATTTACTAGAAATTTTCTGAAAATTAATTCATTTCACAATAATTCAACTCTTCTCTCAAAAAACTCAAATCAAGAGAAAGAAAAGGGATACACCAGTTTTGGGAAATTTAATTTCAGCATACCATTACAGATAAATGAGTGCAGTAACTAATTATAATATTTCTTTCTGCGGTTGTATTAATGATATTACAGAAATCAGAAATATTGAAGGAAATAAAATATGCCATGTCTGACACTTTTATAACCATACTCAAGTATGAGAAGATGGCTTTCAAATCCACGAAAACTAATCTCTTGATGGGAACGTGCTATAAGGATTGGGTTAATGGTGGTTTTAAGAGCAAAAAAGATTATATGGTAATATTCCAGATGTTTTTACTTCTGGTAGAATGCTTCTTGCATTACTTATTTTTGTTTTCCTTTATTTATCAATTTTGTTTTGACTTCAGTTTTCCTTCGGAAAGGGCATAGTACATGAGATTAATTATTAATTATTTAAATCCATAAATTTAGGAAGGTAGATGGCTGAAAGAAATTTGTATGTTCCACGTGTCAATCAGGTAAACATTTTATGTACACAGGCACACGATATTAATTAAGAAACCACCAACTGTGGAAACACAAACTTTCATTGTATCTTGTTGTATGGTCACTTTTAACAGTTCCATGTGAAGCAATATATTAAAGTCTAACTTTTATTTAATTTTTATCGCACAGATTGATGCTATATATCTGAACAAGGATATTACAAGGCTAATACGGGATAATCTACTTGAAAATCTACAAAATATATCAGTAAGTTATTAAATGCAAAAGAAATCGCTTGTATTTAAAATAAATACTAATATAATCATTTTGTAGCCGATTTTATTTGCAAAAATACAACCTGAATTGGATTTACTTGTACAGTCGGCAATTTGGTTCGGCTCTGTTGGAAAACAGTGCTCCACATTTGGTCAACAGTTACTTGTCGTATCATATAAGTCTGAACAATTGACTATATCTCGACTATGTCTACATTTTATATTAACTATTTTACCAGGATATTTTAAAAATGTAAATGAACGTCGTATAATTATTCGTGCTGAGTATGTGCACCAAATTATCGAATGGGGTCAAAATGTGGCATTGTTATTTTCTGTTTTAAATTTCTTTCGTTTCTTAAAAACTGGTCGGCGGCCTACTGTGGTAGATTTTTTACTTGGTTTGGATTATATTAGTTTACGGCACAATCAGCGTCGTGATATAGGATACAAATATCTTACTCGTGAATTATTGTGGGGCGGTTTTATGGTAACCAAATAATACGAACTAATAATTTTTTTTTTATTAATTTCTAAATATATTCAATTGCAGGAGCTATTGGGACATCTACTGCCAATAATTAATTTCAGAAAAATACAACGCGTTTTTAATTTCTCTTTAAATATTATCAACTTAACCAACTTTAAAGCAAAGCCGTTACCGCTAATCGACGAAAGAGAAGTTAAATTGAAAACTAATACAACTTGTACCTATTGCAGTGAAAGACCAAGTATTCCCCATACGATGGGTTGCTGTCACATATACTGCTATTATTGTTTGTCGGCCAATATTGAAACGGACGAAAATTTTTGTTGCATAGAATGTGGAACCAGTCCGTTAAATGGAATTCACAAACTATAGCTGTGTTATTTAAGTACGATGTAGTGATTAAAATGTATAGAAATGAGAATTGAAAGTATTTATAATTTTGTATTGTCAATTTGTTAATTAAAACATCAAAATAACGTACGAATAAATATGTTTATTAGTAATATTTTGGAATGTTCTACATATTCTCTCATCATATAACATTTAACTGAAACTGCTCAATATACAATACAAATATACAGTTCAGGTATATACGTACAAATGTAATATGAGTATACACTCAAATTCTATAGTTTATTGTGATTATTTTGCTACAAAGGGTTGACCCATGTTTATAAATATTTATCTCATTGTATGTATGTATATGTTTATCTTGCAGAATATTTTTATATAATAGTAGTGTGTTTTCATATTTAAAATTTGTGGATATATTTACATCTAGTTGTTAATATGAAGCAATATTAAAAATACTGCACCATAGTTGCGTAGGTACTTTTGATAAGGTTTATATGACCTTTCATATGTTTTGGGGAGGTTTACATGTCAGTGGGTAAAATATCTGGTATTAAATACTTGCATAAATCAATCTCATTATCAACAAAAATTACTTTTTTTGCTGTATTTTCATCCAGCCATTGCCTAATGATCGGCCATATGGTAGAAAATATCCCTGGGGCATTAATAATTAAACATACACCTAACCGCTCTGGGTAATGCTTACTTAGAAGCCATATTAAATTTTTCACCAGCTGGTAGTCCATACATGTTGTACTAAACCCAGCTAAATCAAAAACAATACACAAGCTATCAACAACTTCTTCAAAACACTTTTTGCAAGCTTCTTCTAAGCAGAATACTATGAATTTTGTCAATTCGTCTATGTCGCGATCGTTAGAGTTATGATTTTTTGCAGGTATGTAAATGACAGGACGTCCAACGCAATCACGATGTCTTAAAACGCGTGCTTTATTTCCATGCAATTTTATAGCTTCTGAATCTGCCAGTGTACTTACTCCATATTGTTCACGCCATTTATTAGTTTTCAGTATAGCCTGTTAATAGTTAGATATTTGTTATCAGTGAAAAGCTTTATTGATTTATTATAGAAAATCCACCTGGAATGTAGCGTCCACAGTTTTAAAAGCTCGCAGATATCGCCTTAAAGAAAAGTCATTGTGATATTGCTTTGGATCTGCTTCAACAATAAGCTTCATACGATCCTTGAGGTCTTCTAAGTCTTTCTCATTGATGGGACTAGGTTCGACTTCCAACATGACGGCTGATAAGTAGCAATATATAAGAGTAGTGTCCAAATTAGCCTTCTAAACAGAATTCACCAATTTTCCTTAATTATTTTTTACTATATTTAACTTGAAGCGAATATTTTTCTGCAGTTAATGTTTAAAACATATGACACAATTTATGAATGAAAAATGAAAGCGTATTAAAAATGAGCTTTGTTTATTGAGCAATATCCTAATCCCTAAGATACTTATTTACCACTTAAGATAAGTATACTTCACTAAAGAATTTCTTTTAAATGGGTTTAAATAATAATATTCAATGTCTGGAAAATAGAAAATAATTTTATTTGTTTATTTAATAATTTTTACAAAAAAAGTAAGATAGTTGGCAACCTTTAGAACGTAAGTTGTATTTATGGTAATATAAAGAAAAACAACAACACATTGAAAGTCTAAGTAAAATTAAAAACAGAATCGTCACAAAAATCCGAAGAGTGTTAAAAATAAAATATTTATCATCCGATTTTAGTAGAAGTTGAATAAAATTGTGAGATAATTTTTTGAGTGGTTACAGTAAAATAACCACATAAAAAATTAGACAAAGAAGGTAAATTGATATGACGACATTCCATAAAAGCAGCACAGTGACATTCCTTTGACTGAAAAAAAAAACATAATTATGATGAAAGGAAATGAAAAAACTTTCAGTGATTGATGTAAAGCTAGCTATTTTATTAACAACTTCACAAATTTTACATAAAATGCTTTTAAACGAAAATAGAAATGTGTGCTAAATATGTAAATTGTGTAAGCATAAATATAGGTATATGTAATTTTTCACGTGTAATTAAGTAAACATACCTAATTGATAAGCTTCCTTTCTGAAATTTGAGATAACAAAAATGAAGAGTAGCATTCAATGAAAGGCTTGACAAGCATTATAATTTTATATGCGTAAGTATATACTCCTGAGTATATACAAATATCTTCTTTGTCTGTTAATTCGGGTCTTTCCATTCGTAGCATTAAAACAAGGAAACATTGACAAACAACATTAAATAAACTTTCAAGGTGAAAAATTGAAATTGATTATATATATACACACAATCCACATATATATAAGAACGCCTTCGAAAACACACAGGCATGCCAGCTGATGAAATTATTCCTTAAAATTAACTATTTGTTTCAAGTGGAATTTCCTATTTGTTGTATTGTAAATCGTAAATTCGCTAACCTACCACGGTAGCAAGGCGAATTCATGTTATAGCAACTATGCTTTGCTTAATTCGCCTCGGGAGATAGCATTATAGTAAGACGAATTCATGAAAGGTTATATGTTTTTCAATCTCATAAAAAACGTTTCATAAGGGGTTCAGACTTTCGACTTGGTGCTTGCAACTCTTTGTTATGCAAATTTTTTTCAGCTAGCGACAGAAATACTATTTTGAGCAATCTCTTTGTTCAAATTATGATAATAAATTTTATTTCTAAATGCAAGAATACCGTTTCTTACTCCTTAAAAAATTATCATATTTTGTTCTGTACAATAAGATGGAAATGAGTTTATTTATTTCATGCAATTTTTTATTAAATTATAATTCATTCAATAGTACAATAGTTAGAAGTTATGCCGCCATGCTAAATAAGTTCCACAAAGAAAAAAAGAGTGTTGGCAGATGCCGCTTGTCGTGTTGTCGTAGTGTAATTGTACAAAAATGCTTAAGGGCAGATATGGTGAAATGCGCCATGTACGTCAGGTAGGTAAATAAATGAATAAAAAGAAACTATTCTGCCATTTTTTCATGTGAATTTCGGGAAGGGATTTAGAATTTTGCTAGAAATCTACAGTATTTATAGTAAGGTGCAATGCTACAAAGAGTATTAATACTTGAAATAAATATAGTGTACCGTACCCTATCTCATTGTGTATGTAATTTTGCTGCGACTGCAACCCTGATTGTCATTAGCAGCTCGATTTGATCGCCTCGTGTTCGTCATCGGAGTAACATTTTTGATACTTTATATCATAAAAAGAAGAACTATTGAAAACAAATTGTAAAAGAGTGTTAATTAAGGTGATATTTTATACGATAAAAATCAAAAGGTGTGCATATATTGTGTATTAAGAACATTGATATTCAATATTTAGATATTGTAGACAGACACGCAAACAAAGTGAAAAAAATCTTGTACGAACATTATCAAGAGAACTATAAAAAAGCATCTCAAATTATAGGATTTAGTGATAAAACTTGTAGAAAGTTTCCAAAAATATTTAAATTGCGTATAAAGGAAAATACCAGCTAATATCTTCCGACAATAACGGCTATTCAAGAATTTGTCGTCGAAGAAGGTTAATATATTATTTGAACATCTGCATTTTTAGCAGCAATACTATTGCTGCCGTGGAAGATAATCAACATTGCTTACCATGGCCGACGTAACTGACGCCAGTGGTGTTTTTGATTTGGAGCTGCATGAGGAGGAGAATCCCCGCGATTCAGATGATGACAGAATCGAATTGGACGATGTGAGTAAACTCTTAATAATTAACTATTACATTATTAAAGTAGTAATATATGTAAATATTTATAATATGCAAAGCATAAAATTAGCATTTTCTAAAAGTTATTTTCAAGGATATATGTATGTAGTTTTATTTTATACCATATTTGCTTAGAGAACATAGAATTTTCAAATACATAACTCAAATCCCCAAACTAAGAGTAATTGAGAGTTAAACTATTCTTATCAAATTATTTTTAGATAAGCAATCGAACTTTATCTAATTCGTCATTTACTAGATGTGAATTGTAAAGTTTAAAAGTCAACAAAGCGAATGCTTTTCAATTACACATTTACATTTGAGGATCAAAATCAACATTGATCATTTAACTCCCTTATGGCATTTTTATGTGTAAAAGCAGAGGAGGCTTGGATTTTTTTTTTTGGAAATCCTATAAATCGTGAAAGTTTAAAGACTAAGTCTTGTACCATAATAATAATTTACAGTTTTTTTGTAATTGTTTCATACACATATTTATAACAAGTGTTGAATTAATTCATACTTCCTTTCTTAAAAGGTCGACTTGGAACCGGAACTAAGCATAAACAATATTCAAGAAGAGTAAGTATAAAACTCATTCATTTTTATGAGATTAATTGAGATGTGAATAGCACAAAGATCTTATAATTAAATAAGATTCTACATACAAATTTATATAATCTAATGGAGACTATTTTAAAAGGAAATATTTTTTGAAAATTAATAAAGTTTTCAGCATTTAGCTACATAATTATATATAAATATGTATAAATAAAAATTTGATTATTATATAATGTATGTATGCTACATGTTTATATTAATTTATTCTTCATTAAATCAAATTCGACATTGTATAAGGTTCGGTTATTTCTATTTTACTGTAGAATCTGTTGGACACTTGTATGCAAATCTCCGTGCGAATATAAACAGTTTGCGCTGTTCCTTTTTTATACTTAATATATTATTTTTAATAACATTTATTAATAACAATCATAATAGATAAAATTGTTAATAAAACACTTATCCAACATAAATAATCAACAATGTAATCATAAAAGCTTTCGTAGTTAAACAACAGCTGCACAAGTGTTTGACGCCACACTTTAATATACATATGTACACATGTTTTCGCCTCTTCGCAATAATCATTCTGATGGATGATGATGGCCTTAGCATTATTTTAGTTTATTATATGAATTTTTTATGAGGTATCGTATATAATTCTTTCTTCAATTTCCAGAGTTGAAGGGCAGGAAACTATACAGCTTTCGGAGGAAACTGTAAACCCTGGTAAAATAAAGTTAGGCCCCAAAGATTTTGAGCTAAAGAAGGTTCTTGGTAAAGGCGGCTATGGCAAAGTATTTCAGGTTGGTTGTGCACGAATATATGTTAAACTTGTGTTTTTAAAAATAATAATTTAAAAAAAATGCAGGTGCGTAGAACTGCTGGAAGAGATGCAAACAAATATTTTGCCATGAAAGTCCTTAAGAAGGCCTCAATAGTAACAAACCAGAAGGATACAGCCCATACAAGAGCTGAGCGTAATATATTGGAAGCAGTAAAGGTAAGCAGTCACTTTTGTAAATTTAATTTTTTGTTTTTACATTTCATGAACATAAACTATAATATAATTTTTGTCCGAAATATGGAAGTAATAGTAACCACTGAACATATCTCCAATTTGTGGTGTACGTCTTGATATTATTTCTAAGACACCTTAGATCGGGTGATGGATATTTGTGAGGAGTTTTTATTTCATGTCGGGTTAAAACTCGAATTAATGGACCTTCCCTGCTTAGGTTTGACTGCAATTAGACAAATTAATGAAATTAATTTTGAACGTTGATCTAGCACATTGCTAGCATAGATGGGGAACTAGCTGATGTAATCTATAGTACCCAATCAACCAATGGGAAACCATGTAAAAATGTAGTCCATTTAACTACCTCTTAATTAACATTTTGCGCACTTGTTATGCATCAAACAATGAAAGAAAAGCTCCATTTAAATGCTCATCTAAGAAAACTTCGGTATAACCGAATATAGCATTTCTTTCTTGTTTTTATTCATATTAAAGATATACTTTATTTATAAATTTATAATTGAACGTAATTGTGATAATTTTCCATATTTTCCATTGTAGCATCCTTTTATTGTCGAGCTCGTTTATGCCTTTCAAACTGACGGCAAATTATATTTGATTTTGGAGTATTTAAGTGGTGGTGAACTATTCATACATTTAGAACGTGAAGGCATATTTTTGGAGGATACAACATGGTAAATATAATATACATACGCACATACATATATATAAATTAGAAAAATTAAATTTAATGTTTTATTGGAAACTTCTCTTCTTTCTAGTTTCTATTTAAGTGAAATTATATTAGCTTTGGGCCATCTTCACAAATTGGGCATTATTTATCGTGATTTGAAGCCAGAAAATATATTATTAGACGCACAAGGTCATGTGAAATTAACCGATTTCGGTTTATGCAAAGAGCATATTCAAGAGGGTATAGTGACTCACACGTTTTGCGGAACAATAGAATATATGTAAGTATACTACTTTTCAGCCTAACATTTTGCTCATTCTAAGAAAAAATGTTCATTTTCATTTAAAAGGGCGCCTGAAATATTAACTCGTAATGGCCATGGCAAAGCTGTTGATTGGTGGTCATTGGGTGCACTAATGTTTGATATGTTAACAGGCATGGTAAGTTATTATTTTATATTACAGCATATAAAGCTTAATAGGTTTATCCTTTAATGGCGATATTTTTTTTTTGTTCATTTAAATAAATAAAATTAAATTAGCCTCCGTTCACTGCTGAAAATCGTAAGAAAACCATCGAGACGATTCTTAAAGCTAAATTAGTTTTACCTGCCTACCTCACACCCGAAGCTAGAGATTTAGTACGTCGTTTAATGAAACGTCAAGTGCCACAAAGACTGGGTAGTGGTCCAGAAGATGCGGTCGCCGTACAGTCGCATCCGTTCTTTAAGCATGTGAATTGGGACGATGTTTTGGCTCGTCGACTGGAGCCTCCAATCAAACCTATTTTGGTAAATATTAATTAATGTAAATTATTATTTCCTATGTACTTAATGTTGAAGGAAAATTTCTTTGGAAGAAATTTTAATTTAACTGCATTTATAACAGCTGAACTGCTAACTGAAAATCTGTAACAGCTTACTGAAGTAAATATCAATTAAAAGGATTGAAAGCTTCTATAATAATTTTTCCTTAAAAAATATTGAAGACCTGAAAGACTCGATAAGAAAATATGCACAAAATGAAAATAATGTTATGAATAAAAAAATATTAAATTTCTTATACAAAGTGAACCTTTCTCTCCTTTTTCAAGTTTTAGCAGCTCTGTAGCTGTGTATATAGCATGTATTTAAAATTTTATTTAACCAATAGTTATAACTCTTCTACCAACTAATATTTTAACCAAAATGTAATTTCATAAAATAACAATTAATTTTTGCAGCGAAGTGAAGACGATGTCTCTCAGTTTGATACCAAATTTACAAGACAAATACCGGTTGACTCTCCAGATGATACTACACTAAGCGAGAGTGCCAACTTAATATTTCAAGTAAGTGCGTTTAGATTTAAATTTTGAAATTGATCATGTGGGGGTATAAACAAGGCAAAAAAGTACATACTTGTATTGAATTTTTATCTATAATTTGGATTTTTGTTTGTCCAGTATTCGAACCCATAACCCCCAATACGATAGCACGCACTGTTAACCACTAGGCTATTGCGCTCTGCATGCACTTCCTTAAAAGCACACTTTCTATTTTAATTTGTCGCAAGTAAAAAATAGATAAGTTTTTGTATAAAAGAGTCTTTATAAAAAAATTTCAACCAGAACAATGTTCTTTATGATAATACAATACGTTCATGCAATAAATATTAAAATTAACTAACCTAGACTTATATGCAATAGAATGTAATTCACTTAGGATAAGCCACATTGAAAATGTGGTTCTTTTAGTGGAATGCCAGTGGGACCATCAGTATATTCGCAAAAGTTCAAGCCAATGCGTCGAAATGGATGGCATTTACTTTTGGGATTTCCCCATTTACCTTTAAAAGATAACCATGATGGTATCAGAGCGCGCCCTTCAAAATAATAAATCCAATTATATATTATTTCATGTAAAAATATATCTGTGAAATTATTTGCTTACCGTATGATTTTAAATTTTCATAAGAAATTTGAACCGACTTCCACGTATTCCAAGGGGTACCGAAACCATTTATGTCATACAGTCTTGCAACTTTCACAAACCGATGCTTTCCCGGAGCAGTCCATAGGCCGTGCGAACCCTAAACGTGTTTAGAATGAAAAGTATATCAATATTTTTTTGAAATAAACTTCTGTCCTCACTTTGGCCGCAAAAAGTACGGGGTGATTATTAAATGTTGTGACTGTTTTTGGAAAATTAGGTCTTTGTAAAATGCCTTTACGTGTTTCCTGTTTCTGGAACTCAAAAGAGCCTGTTAGACGATTGTAGGAGTAGTAAGCGCCTGCATCGTGCGCCGAGACATACATGGCCTCCGGCTCAGATTCACCAGTAAAGTATAAACTCATATGCTCCCAATCACCAATATGACTTCCAATATCTTTGCGACTCCCCAGGCAGAATCCATAAACTGCAGGAAATGGAATGCTACCAAGAGGTCCTAGGCTTAGCGTACACATTGTTTTACCCTGAAAAGAAATATTTGTACGAATGTTGATTGACATAGTCATCAACGATAATTATATCTTACTTGACTATAAGGATAAAACATCCAGTAGGTCACGTGGAATTTTGGCATTTTTCCTTTTCCGTTAACATGGCTTGAAATTGGTATTTTTGTTTCTATTTGATCAAAACTACCACCGACATCTATATTATTTTCCTCCATTAGCTCCTCCGTGGGCATACTGAATTTCACATTATCCGCCAAATTAGCTATGAAATTATTCACTTGTCCATTATTATCTGCTTTTACTGGGGCATCCGTGGTTGATATATCTTCCGCACCTTTTGATTGATCAGAGGGACTTTTACTGAGTACGATATCATCATAAGGCTCTATCAATAAACCTTTTGGTGGCAAATTAAGTGTTATTGGCGGTGACAATGGCAAATTTCGCCGAACTCTCTGAAATACTGGATATAGGCGTGACGAGCGACGTATCGTCTTATTGTGCACTTCCAATGGATCTATAGAGACCGGTATATAAGGTCCACGAGTACTACTCAATGGGATTGTTGCGCCAAGGACGACGTTTAGGTTTTGAAAATTGGTTGTTCGATGTCCGCTGGGCATAAAACTTAAATTTATGTGCCCAGAAGGTTCGATGTTCATTTGTTCCGAATCACTAGATTGTGTTGGAGAAGGTGGCGTAGAAGGAGAGAGTATTGACACTGGCGTTGCTGATGATTTTCGTAAAGGTTTATTGCAAAGCGTTACTACGGCATAAATTGGTACCGGTGATTCGTTTGGGTTTCGACCGTAGATAAATGATTTTTCGTTCTCAAGGAGCTCATCTGCAACAGATTATAGAATAAAAGCTAATTCTAGTATTAAATGTAATTTATAGTTATTTCGAGTATGAATAATTTTGGTTTGAAACCATAGCCACTGTATAAATATATTTCATGGCGCCGATGAGCCTTTGGAAATTCTAAGATATTTTCGATGTTCAGACAAATTCCCAAAAAAGCAATATTTTTTTAGTTTTCATGTCTTTGCAAAGCGAAGTCTTCCCTTTTTGGATATTCGGCTCAGTTTTTTTCGACGAAAGACTTAAGCAACAAACCAAAAGTATATATTGATTAAATTAAATTTCACAAAAATTGTAAACATTCAATCCTCTTACCTATTTCCGCCTTAGTCACCAAGAAAGCTTTCATCGAATCATCGCCAATCGGTATGCCAGGTATTAGGGTTTTACCTTTATCCATGGGTTGTACATGATTTAGAAATTCATCAACCCCAAGTGGCATGAATTTTTCCTCTGGCGCCAGCCAAACAATGGGTGCCCAACGTTTAATTAAATGATCAACTGTAAATGCAATTAATTTAGTACTCAGTAGGCTGATATGGGAAGACCTGTTATTATGAAGTCTTATATAAAGTTTTGATATTGAAAATATTATAATTATTCTGGCTATAAAATTAAAAAGGGAAACATTTTTACATTTGATTGAATTGAACATGACACAAACCGAAGACTCCGCATAATATGGGTGAAAAACTCCACGAAAACATTTTAAAGTGGTTTGATCGACACCATATACTACATATTTTGTTAATAAAGTGTTTTTCAAGTGCTTATTATTTATTTATTTGTTAAAAGATTTTTTGCAAAAGATTCCAAAAAATTTCACTTTCTACGTTACACACATATTTACGCATATTTCAGTGATATGTATGCGTATTTGTGGGCTATTTCATTGCACTGTACAATGTTGTGGACAGGCTTGTTTATTTTTGTATTTTGTACGCGCGCCAGTGTACTACTCAGACGAGCACATGACAAGCAACAACCTTTTGTTCGGAATATCACTATAAGATGATCTACATTCAAACTATGTTTTCAATGTTTTATTTTTACTTTTAGTTTGGGTGAAATGGGAACTAAAGCAGAAATAACTGGTTCTTATTATTGCAAACTTAATGTATGAAATCTGAATTGCTGCTGATAACAAAAATTTCTCTCAATTTTTATTAAGTGTTGCTAAAAAAATTTTTTTATTAACAAATAGTGTAAAATTTTATTGGTATTCGTAAAGTTGCGGAGTTATATATGTATAATGAGAAGGAATAAAAATAAATAAAATAATATAAAATGAAATATAAAAAAACATTTGAAATGAAATAAATATGAAAAATAAAAAAAATACAAAAAAAAAATACAAAAAAAAATACAAAAAAAA